TCCCCTCCCGCTACCTTCTTCTTCTTCATTTTTTTTTTCTTAACATATATTGCATTAAGTAATCTGAACACTTAAAGAAATCCTATGAATCAGAGAAAAGCAAACATCCTAATATTAAAATGGACACAAAACCAAGCACGTTAAGAAGAGGAAAGCAAATGACCAATAAACAAATGTAAAGATGATAGACATACTAATATTCAGGAAAATGCAAATTTAAAACACCAAGGAAATACCACTTATACCCACTGGATTTGCAAAAAATGAAAAATTCTGACAAAATCAGGCATTGGTGAGAATGGGCAGGAACTGAGACACTTACCACCTGCTGGTAAAGCAGAACGTGTGGACACCCACAGCAGTTCCACTCCCAGGCATATGCCAGTTTATCATTTGTCTCCTTCATGATTTGCATATTTTGAGTTGCATTTAAGAAGTCCTTTCCTACCCAGAGGTCATGCAGATACTTGCCTATATTTTATTCCAAACATTATAGTTTTGCCTTCCATATTTAAACCCTTAATCCATCTTTACTTGATTCTGTACATGTGTGCCAGAAGACACACAAGCATGTTTATAGAACAATGTTCAAGATAGCAAAAACCTTGGAATAATCCAAATATTTATTGACAGTAACATTGGGTCAATAAATTGTGGTGTAGGCCCACAGCATGAAGCTATGCAGCAGGGAACATGAATAAACACAGCTACAGGTTCCCATGTGGATGAATCCTAGAAATAAGTTGAGTAAAAGAAGCAAGTCACAAAGGAATATGTGATATGATCCCATTAAATTAAATTTCAAAAGTTGAAGTTAAAGAAAAGGTTAAAGGTCAAAACCATAAGTGGCAAAGCTATAAAGAAAAGTGAGTCACAGATTCTCACCAGGTCAGAGTAGTGGCTGCTCTTGGAGGAAGGAAGGGGTTATGGACAGGGATGGACAAATGGGGGTTTCTAGTATACTGGGGCAAGGTTGTGTTTCTCAATCTAGTAGACTGTAGGTTAGTGTTTATTTGTTAAACTATTTTATACATGCTTCAGTATGATTAATACTGAAAACTAAAGACAGAAAGAAATGAGAAACTGAGGCTCAGAGAAGTGAAATGACTGCCCAGTCAAGGCCATTCAGTTAGCGTGTGGCAGAGGTGTGGTGTTAATCCTGTTTTCCAATGCCAGATGCCATGCTTCTTACAGAATCCTTGTCCCACAGGAAGTCAGGGATCTAGAATACGGGATTTCAGGAAGCAGAAGGGTCTTGCAGGCATCGAACACAACCAACCCTGACTTCATAGGACAATTTGATGTTCCCTCAGGGCTACTCTTCTTCGGTCCACGTGAATGAACCCCAGTTTCTTTAGCTGCTCCACCTTTCATAAACCTGCTCTGCATCTCTGAGCAAATATTCCTGTTTGCATTCCTCTGAAAATACCATGCTCAGAACTGAAGGTATTATTCAACATGCAATCTCACTGGAGTGAAGTAGAGTAAATCTGTTTCTGCAGTCTAAAACCAAAAACACTGAGAATTTAAGAACAGTCTATAAATCTACAACCCAGTCCTTCCTGAGGGTGACTGTGTCAGATTGTCATTGTGCTGGGTGTTTCCAAGGGACCATTATATCACCAGCCCAGGCCAGGGTCACAAGATGTGGGTCCTGATTCCAATTCTATCAACAACCAATCCGTGTGACCTTGAACAATTTCCCTTCCTGGTTTTGGTCTCCATATCTGTGATATGAGCAAATAGTCTCTAAATTCTTTTCCAGCCCTTATATGCTTCAGGGTGAGTGCTATTTTATGGGCTCCAGAGCCAGGCTGCTCAGGTTCAAATCTCAGATCCACCCACATACAAGCTGTGCGACCTTGGGCAAGTTACTAAACTCAGAATGGGAATAATGATAATACTATCTGAGATCCTTTTCCATAGGATGTGGGGAAGATTAAGTGAGTTAATACATATAAGATGCTTATCACTACACACTAAGCTTTGCTGGCCCCACTCCTGATTTCCAGTCTTAGTTGATTCCTTGAGAGAAATTCTTAATGTCACCCAGCTTAGTCTTATTATGATTTATTCACTGGGATAAACATGCACCTTGTAATCTTTTCATAAATGTGCACCTTCAATCTTGTTTTATTTTCCAGGACTTATTGGCTGTGGGTACTTTGATCCTTGCAGAAAGTTCAAACTTGAAGTATGTGAGATGATTGCAAATTTAGTTTCAGCAGGCAGAGTGCTGTGGCAGTGGACGAAGGTACAGAAGCGTTGTTGTCCGTAATAACAGAAAGTCAACTATTACTCGGTCCGTTCTCACCTCATGGCTCATGAACTTATCATCACATTATGGAGTAGTGGGGTTTTTTTGAAAAAGAGAAATTAGGTGCTCAAATAGATTTATGACACATTTTCCTTCCAGGGAGCAAATATTCCGACTAGATGATGCTTTCCATATGTATGAGATATTACTATAAACCACACACGGCATCCAAGATAAAGTAGAATTTTGCTAAAATGAGAATACTGCTTTTCCACTTGTTACTCTGATTTGTATGTCAGACACTCACATGTTTACTGGCTGACTGAAAACATGAATTTCTGGATATTCTTAGCTACCTGAGACTTAAAGTCAAACTTGTGTGAGTCTCTGAGATGGAACGGGAATTAGTAAATGGATGGAAGTGTACTTAACAAAAATAGATATATATATTTAGATAAGATTTATTTATTTACCTTAGAGAGAGTGGGGGGGAGAGGGAGAGAGAGTCTCAAGCATACTCCATGCTAAGCGTGGAGCCTGACACTACTGGCCTTGGTCTCACAACCCTGAGATCACAACCTGAGCTGGACACTTAACCAACTGCGCCACCAGTCTAGATTTTAATATACAGGTCAGTGCCCTAAGTAAAGCTCAGCAAACCTGTAGCTGTCACCAGATGTTTCAAAGCAGACTCATGCAAAAGCAATTAAGCGTAGGTCTGTGACATCTCAGACCTAGGCTTAAAACAAGGCTGAGGCATTTGCCAAAAAACATTCATTAGGCCAATTACACATATCTGGGAGGAGGCTTATGTCCTGGGGAAACTTGGAGGGTGTCAACCTCTCAGATTCCTGGGGGAATTCTAGATAAGAGAATTATAAAGAGAGGAAGGTGTTCCTTATGAAATGCTTGGTCCACATAATGCCCTGTTCCTTGCATGGGGTCTGCCCCTTGCCAAGACAGGGTCTTTGCACATGCCGTTCTGCCTCTCTTAAAGAAAACTCAAAATGAATGGCCAGGGCTGAGTGTCTGAGATAATTTTCTGTGGTCAGATCCATCCATTGTTCACTCTCATGTGATTATATACATATTTTCCTGAAAAGCTTTGGCCTTCTGGTTGTCTTTCCATCAAAGTTTTTCTCGTTATATGAATGTTTACCGGTTCCATTTCGCATCTTTCTTTACCTCTTTAACCTGTTTTCCACAAGCTTTCATTCCACTGCTCTCATCAGGGTCACCAAAGATCTCAGTCTTGGCAAATCCAAAGGTTGATGTCTTCCTCTTACTTGATTCTTTAGCGCATTTGACATAAAAGTTTCCCTCTCGAACACATTTTTCACTTGGTTTCCAAGGAAACTCATGCTCTTGGTTTTCTTCCTACCTGACAAGTTACCTTTTTAAAAGTCCCCCCTCTTCTTCCCTTCCTCTAGATACTGGAGTGCACCCGATCTTAACTCTAGGACCTCTCCCCTGTCTGTATTCTTTACCCAGATGGTTTCTCCAGCTCCAAGGCCTTAAACACCATCTCCGTGCTGATGACTTCAAAATCCATGCTTCCATTCCAGGCCTCTCTGCTTGGCTCCATACTTATTTCCTACTGCTTAGTAGACATCGCCATTTAGATATCCAATAACCATCTTAAAGTTAATGTGTCTACACAGAACTCTTAATTGTCCTTCAGTATGACCTTCCCTCAGACTTTTGCATCTTTTTAGCTAATAGCAACACCACTGATCCTTCTCCTCAGATAAAAAACTGGCACCATCCTTGATTTGTCTCCCTCATCCCTCTACTTCCAATCCATCAGCAAGTCTCAGTTACCATGCTTTCAGAATATATCCCAAAGCTTGAGCACTCTCTGCCATCTCAGAGTGACCCCCCTGATAGATGCTTCTATCACCTGCCCTCTGGACCATGCAGCCATTTGCTTTCTTTTTGCCCTCCTAGAGTCTGTTCTTTACACAGTCCTAAAATGCTTTTGAGGAAAGTAAATGAGAAATCATTACTCCTTCTCAAAACCACCAGGAGGCTCCCAGGTACACTTAGAGTGAAACCTAATGCCTTGCTCTGGCCTGTGAAACTCACCCCCTGAGCTGGTCCCTGTTCACCCCTTCCACCTTCTGCTCCAGCGGCCCTGCCCTCTCGCTGTTCCTCGAACACCCCATGTTTTTTGTGCCTCTGGGCCACCATACTTTGTTTGACTCATTCTCATCCTTCTTACATTCAGAGGGGCTTTCTCAGACCATTGTCTCTAAAGTAACTGTCCATGGCCCTATCGCAGTCATTATCTGTCTTCTGGCCCTACTTTATTTTTTCTGACCATGACTTTTATTATGATTATTTGTCAATTTGTTTGTTTACCAATATATTTGTTTCTTATTTACCTATTGTCAGGCTCCCGCACTAGAACAGAAGCTCCCTGATTTTAGTAGATTGAGCTGCTAGTTACCATGCTGTCTTCTTAGTTACAATGGTATCTTCTTAAGGGCAGCAGGAAGTGTCAAAAATAGCCACTGAATAATGAATGAATCTTCCTCCCTTCCCCACCCCCAAATAAGCAGCCCTTTTTGTATCTTTTCTTCAAGCCTTCCATCCTCACAAAGCACTTTTAACCCTTGTATACTACTTCATCTTTATATCACTTTACACAGCTTTTTTTTTTTAAGATTTATTTATTAATTTGAGAGAAAGACAGAGAGAGAGTGGGGGGGAGGGGCAGGGGAAGAGAATCTCAAGCAGACTCCCTGCTGAGTGTGGAGCCCAACATGGGGCTGGATCCCATGACCTTGAGATCATGACCTGAGATGAAATCAAGAGTTGGCTGCTCAACTGACTCAGCCACCCAGGCACCCCTACTTTACACAGCTTTAAAGCAGAAGCCCAGGGCACCTGGCTGGCTCAGTCGTTAAGCGTCTGCCTCCGGCTCAGGTCATGATCCCAGGGTCCTAGGATGGAGCCCCACATTGGGCTCCCTGCTCCACGGGAAGCCTGCTTCTCCCTCTCCCACTCCCCCTGCTTGTGTTCCCTCTCTTGCTGTGTCTCTCTCTGTCAAATAAATAAATAA